TTCAATTTTAATGAAATCACAGAATCTTAATAAGCCATATTTAGTCACAGTGCTATGAATCATTTGTTAATAAACGTTTCCATTGTTACTTTATATGTCTGCTCTCTAAAGTTTCAAATAAAAGCTGATTTTAGATTCTTAGTTATTAATGTTCTAGGGGTATTGCCAAAAAAAGCTACATGTCCTATATTCTGTGCCAGTTTCTTAAATTAGAATCTTGGATTGCATCCTCAGCGTGTCACTGTAGTGGTATTGCTGGGTTGCTATGATACGGTGCTTGTTCTATAATTTGTAGCATGAATCCTATATGAGATCTTACTTTAGATTTCAAGTATGTTAGCAGCAGTAATTAGGGATGTTTTCCCCTAAGGAAAATTACAGCTATGAAATTATTATTTGTTACAAATGATACCTGCTACTTCAAATTATTTATTCTTAAATATAGAGGATTAACATTGAACAACTTGAAATAACTTGGTTGTCACCTCAGAAGTTTAGTTTATCACTGACTTAAGATGGGCAAGAAGAGGAAGGGTTTATGATAATGAACATATTAAGATTTCAGTGTTCTTTTACTTGGTATTTGATATCTTAAGAGAAATGAATATAGACTAGATTTTCTGGGAAGATACATTTGAAGCAGTATGATTAAAACCACATTATAGGGGAAAACTACAAATTATTGTATTGCATTAAAAAATGTTTGGTGAACTGTTCTTAAAACCAACCCTCTGTGGCCATCTTAATAAGCTATTATTACTACCTCTTTTTCATTTTAAGTGTTGGTTTTGGGATTTCATTTACATGTTCCTTGAAAATTTTTATTAATTAATTTAGCGTTATAAATCATAGGCACCATAAAGACAAAACTAGTGGATTCTGTGTTGTATACTCTTTGGTGGTGGAATGAAGTTTATGTGATTATTGGTCAGTGGCATTGCTGCAATTGATCTTTAAACTTTTACTCTCAGCAATGTTTTGGGTATTTGATATGAAAGTATTTTAGAGACCAGAACTAGACTAAATTTTAAAAACAGCTCTATTAAGATATAATTCATATACCATGTAATTCCCCATTTAAAGTATACAATTCCATGGCTTTTAGTACATTCACAGATATGTGCAGCTACCACAGTCAATTTTGGAATAGTTTCATCATCTTAAAAAGAAATACCATGTCCTTTAGCTGTCACCCCCTATTCCTTTAGGGATTCTCTAAGCAACCATTAATTTACTTTCCATCTCTAAATTTCCCTATTCTGGACATTTCATGTGAATGGAATAATATAATATGTGGTCTTTCGTAGTTGGCTTCTTTCATTTACTCGCATAATGTTAAGGATTTATTCATGTTATAGCATGTGTTAGTGCTTCATTCCTTTTTGTGGCTGAATAGTATTCTATTGTATGTTATACCACATTTTATTTACCCATTCCTCACTTGATAGACATTTTGATTGTTTGTACTGTTCAGTTATGAATAATGCTGCTTTGAACATTTGTATACAAGTTTTTGTGTGGACATACATTTTCATTTCTCTTTTGTATACACGTAGGGGTGGAACTGCTTGGTCATAAGGTAATTCTGGGCTTAGTCACTTGAGAAACTGCCACACTTTTTTCCATAGTGGCTGTACTATTTTACACTCCCACTTGTGGTATATGAGGGTTCTCATCGCTCCACATCCTTACCATTACTTGTTATTTTGACTTTTTGATTATAGCCATCCTAATGGATGTGAAGTAGTATCTCCTTGTGGTTGTGATTTGCATTTCCCCAATGACTGATGTCTCTTTTAACATGCTTAGTGGCCATTTGTATGTCTTGGAGAAATGGCCCTTTAGATCCTTTGCCCACTTTTGAATCGTTGTCTTTTTATCATTGAGTTGTAAGAATTCTTTATATATACTTGATATAAGTCCCTGTGTCTTTTCACTTTCTTGGTGGTGTCCTTTGAAGTACAAACGTTTCAAATTTTGATTAAGCCTAAATTTTCTTTTTTCTTGTTACTCATGCTTTTGGAGTCATATCTAAGGATCTTTTCCCAAATGTGAGGCTATGAAGATCTACTCCTATGTTTTTTCTCTAAGAATTTTGTAATTTTAACCTTTACATTTAGGTCTTTGGCCATTTTGAGTTAATTTTTATATAGGGTATGATGTAAGGATTCAAATTCATTCTTTTGCATGTAGCTATCACATTTATCTCCTCACCATTTGTTGAAAATACTTCTTTCCCCATTAGATGGTCTTGGCTCTTTTGTTGAAAATTAGCACATGGTTTTATTTCTGGATTCTCAGTTCTATCCCATTGATCTATATGTCTGTTCTTGTGTCAGTACCACACTGTCTTGATTACTTGTTTTATGTAGTAAGTTTTGAAATGGGATAGCATGAATCTTCCTAGTTTGTTTTTCATTTTCAGGATTGTTTCGGCCGTTATTGGGTCACTTAAAATTGCAAAGATTAGGTTATTGATTTAAGATCTTTTGTGCTTTCCTGTATAGACATTTATAGCTATATCTTTCCCTTAGAACACGCTTGAGTTTTGGCATGTCTTTATTTTCATTTGTCTCAGCATGTTTTTTATTTTGTTTTAGGTTTCTTCTTTGACACTTTAGTTATTTAAGTATAATTTAATTCCCACATATTTGTGACTTTCCCAGAAATGTTTTAACTTCTCTTTTCTAAGAGATGAGGGTCTCACTGTGTTGCCCATGCTTCAGTGCAGTGGCTGTTCACAGATGCTGTAATAATACACAGTGGCGGCTAACTCCTGGGCTCAGTGGGATCCTCATTGCCTCAGCATCTCAAGTAACTGAGCCTACAGGTACGTGCTACCATGCCCCCTTCTCCTTTTTTTTTTTTTTTTGAGACATGTCTCACTCTGTTGCCCAGGCTAGAGTGCAGTGGCACGATCTCAGCTCACTGCAACCCCAGCCTCCAGGGTTCAAGCTGTTCTCTTGACTCAGCGCCTGCTGTAGCTGGGACTACAGGCGCACACCACCATGCCTGGCTAATTTTTCTATTTTTAGTAGAGATGGGGTTTCACCGTGTTGGTCAGGATGGTCTCGATCTCCTGACCTTGTGATCTACCTGCCTCTGCCCCCCAAAGTGAGTGAGTGTAGTTTCCCCCATCTGTGTATATATCAGAAGCCTCTGATCCTCTTCCTCAGAGAGGTGCAGCTTTGAGTATGTCCAGGCACCTTGGGATGACAGTGGTTTTGGCAGGTTCTCTGTCTTTTCCTGACCGTACTTCCAGCTGTTAAGTTCCATTGATTTTCAGCTGATTGCTCAATTGTTTTCAATAATGCTTTGGTGCACACATTGTTCTACAAACTAATCCAATCAAATCCAGGCTCCTTTGAAGGCGTAGTTCCCAAGGTCAGTATGTGGTATTTGTTCTAACAACAGGAGGCCTCCATGCTTCTGTTTTTTTTTTTTGTTGTTGTTGTTGTTTGTTTTTGTTTTTTGTCTCTCCTGAACAATAACTGGCCTACAGTTTAGTCTGTGTCCTCATTGAATTTACAGATCTCCCCATTATCTTTCACCAAAACCTCTACTGTTCTTAGAGCACCCTTAGGCTTGAACATTTTTTAAAATGCCCTGTTGTAAAGAAGTCAGTTGTTGTGGTACTTCTCCCCCCAAGCAGAATCTCAAGAGTCAGGGCTCTGAGCTGGGGGTAGGGACAATGGTATGCTTCTCTCTGAAAGCCTGCTTTAGGAGCTGAGCAGTTGGGGGAAGTGGGAGCAGTAATCTGAGGTCTTTTTGGCTTGCCTCCTCCAGTGTGGAATCAATACTTTATGGGCCAGAGCTAAGGTAGTTGAGGCCCCAGTAATTTTAGCAGTGCTGCACAAAAGGTAGAGCCTCTGTAGCATGTGTGGAGGTTGGGCAGAAGAAAGGAGGCCTGCCTTTCAGATGCACTTGTCTAGAACTTATCCTCAGCAACAATAAGTAGCTGTGGAAAGGATGAGAAATGCCGATGTGTCCTACTCCTTATCTAAAGATGTCTGGGAGCTAGACGTAGTGGGATCCATGTGTCCTTGGCTGCACCTCTTTGAAGTGGAGTTTCTCTGTAGCTGAACCAAGGGGGAAGGAGCTGTCTTGGTTAAAATACAGTCATGTGCTGCATAATGATGTTTTGGTCCATGACATGGTATATAGGATGGTGGTCCCATAATACTACAATGAAGCTGAAAAATTCCTATCCCCTAGTGATATAGCTTTAACTCATAGCACATAACTCACGTGTTTATGGTGATGCCAGTGTAAATAAACTGACTGTACTGTCATATAAAAGTATAGCACATACAATTATGTGGAATACATAATACTTGATAATAAATGTTACTGGCTTATGTATTTATTATACTATTTTTATTTTATGGTGTACTACTTATTAAAAAAAAAAGTTAGCTGTAAAACAGCCTCAGGCAGATCCTTCAGGAGGTATTCTAGAAGGAGATGTGGAGATATGAAAGACAGTGATGTGGATGATCCTGACCCTGTGTAGGCCTAAGCTAATGTGTGTTTGTGTCTTAGTTTTTAATTGAAAAGTTTAAAAAGTTAAAAAGTCTGAAAAATAGAAAACGTATAGAATACTGATAGAAAAAATATTTTTATACAGCTGTACGACGTGTGTTTTAAGCTATGTTATTGCAAAAGAGTCAAAAAGTTAAAATTTTAAAGTTTACGTAAGTAAAAAACTTACGGTAGGGGGAGCATCAGGAGCCTGGGCTTGGAGGGGGACTTTACTGATTGTTTTAAGAAAATGACAGACAAGGGGACAGGCACAGTGGCTCACACCTGTAATTCCAGCACTTTGGGAGGCCGAGGTGGGTGGATCACAAGGTCAGGAAATGAAGACCATCCTGGCCAACATGGTGAAACTCTGTCTCCACTAAAAAGAAAATACAAAAATTAGCTGGGTGTGGTGGCACATGCCTATAATCCCAGCTACTTGGGAGGCTGAGGCAGGAGAATCGCTTGAACCAGGGAGGGGGAGGTTGCAGTGAGCCGAGATCATGCCACTGCACTCCAGCCTGGCAACAGAGTGAGACTCCATCTCAAAAAAAAAAGAAAAAGAAAAAGAAAATGGCAAACAAACCAGACATGGGGGAAATCGCCAACTTTGATAAGGCCAAGCTGAAGAAAACGGAGACTCAGGAGAAGAACACTCTGCCAACCGAAGAGACCGTTGAGCAGGAGAGACAGAGTGGAATTTCCTAAGAGCCTGGAGGATTTCCTGCCCCTGTCATCTTCAAGACCCTAGTCCTGTTATGGAGAAAGAGCCACCTGCGAGATGGACATGAGTCACAAACTGCACTGTGAACCTGGGCACTCTGCGATACCACCGGTCTGTGGGTCTCTAAAGGAACCCCCAATTGGACTGTCAAATTCTCTGGTTTGTCCCAGAATATTATAGAAAATAATTTGTATGAATAATGAAAATAAACACACCTCATGGCAAAAAGAAAAAAAAGTTACACTAAGCTAAGGTTATTACTGGAGAAAGAAAATGTTTTAAATAAATTTAGGGTAGCCTAAGTGTACAGTTTATAAAGTCTGTAATAGTATACAGTAGTGTCCTAGGCCTTCACATTCACATTCACTCACCACTTACTCACTGACTCATCCAGAGCAACTTCCAGTCTTGTAGGCTCTATTCATGTTAATTGTCCTGCACAAATGTGCCATTTTTAAATCTTTCATATCATATTTTTTACTGTACCTTTCTATATTTGAATACACAAATACCATTGTGTTACAGTTGCCTATAGTATTTAGTACAGTAGCATGCTTACAGGTTTGTAGCCTAGGAGCAGTAGGCTCTACCATAAAGCCTAGATGTGTAATAGGCTGTACCATCTAAGTTTGTATAATATATTCATGATGTTCATGCATGACTGTACTACTAGCTCTTGCTATTCTAACCGACTTTTCATAGCTATTCCTTAGTAGATGTTTTTTGCTATTTGCCCTTAGGACCATTTCACAGGCTGTAAATGGCTGTTTTAAACATAACTTCTATCAGTTGCCCTGGTGAGTAGGTCTGTGGAACTTCTCTCCTTGTCTTATCAGAAGTTGATCTCCCTCTGGACTAGTATTTTAGCTTTTTTTGTAGTAGTAATTAGTACCTTCGCCTTACCTGGGACTTCATAGCTTTCAGGTATGTAATCATGCCAATAAATCTGAAAACCTAAGAGGAAATGGAAAAATTCCTTGAAATAAACAACTTTCTGAAACGGACACAAGAAGAAACAAAAATCTGAATAGTTATATATCTATTTGACTAAATCCTAATTTAAAACCCCAACGAGGAAATTAAAAGAAATTATAGACCAATATCCCTTATGAACATACATTTTTAAATTGTATATAAAATCTTAACAAATTGAATTTAGAAATATATAAATAGAATGAAATATTTTGATCATGTAGGATTTATGCCAGGAATGCAAGGCTGGTTTACATTCAAAAAATGATTTGTTACATAAATAGAATAAAAGAAAAATTATCACTTCAATATAAATAAGGAAAATAGAAAGTTCCTTGTCTGTATAGTTGCCTTTTCTTTAGTACTTTTCTATGCAAATTCTAGCCACCTCAGTAGCCCTGATTGCCAGTCTTTATTTTGCTCATTAAATCTGCTTGTTCTTTTAGGGTTTCTTTTTCCTGTGCTTTCTCTGTCAGAAGAGCCCTAGCAGATAGGAGCTGGTGCAGTGGTGGTGCTTTGTTTTCCTTCACACAGGCATCATAGTTCTGTATTACCTGTCTTCCAGTATCTGAAAACAATTGTTTTCTGTATTTTGTTTAGCTTTTAGTAGTTTACACTAAAAAGTACGTAGGGAGGGTTAGTCTGCTGGAAGAAGTCTTGCCCACACTTTTTGTCATTCTTACCCAATACCCATTGGGTAAGTGATGTGTGACATTTCATGTATAAATTCATGTACACTGTTTATACATACTTACATTTTTCTGTTTACCAGTGTGGTTGAATATCTTTTCATATGATTATTGGTCATTTATGTTTCATGTGATCTTTTTTTCCCATAGATTTTGGGTTTTTTCCTTAATGATTTGTAGGTGTTCATTTGTACCTTCTGTATACCAATTTCTTTGTCCACATTTAGTTTTTTTTAATTCTCTTGGAACTAATTTTTTTGTGTGAAGGAAGGATCTAATTTTTTTTCATATGAATAGTTGGAATAATTTATTGAATTTTAAATATTTCCTACTAACTTAAAACCACCAACTCTGTTATATAGTAACCTTTTGTATGTGTACACTGATATGTTTTTAAATGCCTTATTTGTTTTCCCCGGTCGTCTATGAATTCCTGCACAACACCATATGGTTTTAATTAGTAAATGTGGTAAGATGACTCTTCCCTTCTGCATCTTAAAAATCATCTTGGCTATTCTTGGCACTTTTATTTTTCCAGATGAATTTTTAAGAACAACTCTAATGGTTCTACCAAAATACTCTATTGAGAATTTAACCTGAATTACTTTCCTTCTGTAGATTCATTGGGGAAAACGTTGATTCTTCTCATCCATGAATTTAGTATATCTCCATTTCTTTGTCTCTTTCACGCATTTCAAGAATGTTTTATAAGTGTATTCATAAGAATGTAATTCTTGCTTTTTTTCGTTAGACTTCTCAGATTCCTTGCCCTTGGAACACAGTCACCATATTATGAGGGAGTTCAGACCACATGGAGAGACTGTATGTTGGAGGTTCTGGTAGTAGCCCCAGCTAGTCTGTCAGCCGAAAGCCATCAACTACCAGACATATGAGTGATTTGGCTTTCTCAAAATCCCATCCTCTATCTTTCTTGTCCTTTAGCTGAGGCCTTAGACATCATGGAGCAGAGATAAGCTATCCCTGTTCTGTCCTTTCTGAATCCCTGACACAAAGAAAGGTAGTTTTTTTGTTTTGTTTTTTAAGATGGGTTTTTGCTTTTTTGCCCAGGCTGGAGTGCTGTGGCATGATCACAGCTCACTGCTGCCTCTGCCTGCTGGCCTCAGGCAGTCCTCCCACATCGGCCTCCAAGTAGCTGGATCTACAGGTATGTGCCACCAAGTCTGGCTAACTTTCTTTTTTTTTTTTGAGATAGAGTCTCACTGCAATGCCCAAGCTGAAGGGCAGTGGCTTGATCTTGACTCACTGCAACCTCTGCTTCCCAGGTTGAAACAATTCTGCCCCAGCCTCCTTAGGAGCTGGGACTATAAGTGTGTGCCACACACGTCTGGCTAATTTTTTTGTATTTTTAGTAGAGATGGGGTTTCACCATATTGGCAAGGTTGATCTCAAACTCATGACCTCAAGTGATCCACCCGCCTCAGTCTCCCAAAATGCTGAGATTACAGGCATGAGCCACCATGCCTGGCTAAGTCTGGCTAATTTTTAAATTTTTTGTAGAGACAAGTTCTTGCTGTGTTGCCCAAGTTGGTCTTCGACTCCTGGGCCCAAGCAGTTCTCCTGCCTCAGCCTTCCAAAGTGTTGGGATTACAGGCGTAAGCCACCATGCCCAGCCTAATAGTTGTTTTAAGCCACAGAATTTTAGGATAATTTGTTACTAAGAATAGAAAATGAATACCCCAGGCATCATTATGCTTATGATTTGGCTTGTTTTTTAAGTCTTCCTATGGGAACACATAATCAGAATATTCTAATATAGTATGTGGGGAATAGTTTCTCATCCTGAATTAATAGGTATTTATTACTGTCTTATGTGCTTGGGGGAATTTATATTTATATTATATATGGTTTTAAAAATGTATCTGAGTTTGTAAGGCAGAGGAATAGACTCAGACATTGAAAATTCATCATGAGCACTATGCTTCTCGGGAAACTGGATTTATTCTCTTTTGAGGGTGAACTAACATCCCTGTGTGGTTGAGTATGAGGTTTCATTTTCCATGACATTTCTGTAGTCAGATATACGTAATACAGAGTTAAAACACCCAAACTTAAAGATCTCTTAATCTAGTTGTATGGTCTTCCTATGTAAGTTTCATAAATTGACATTAAAGAATGTAATGTAAAACTTCTTTGCAATATTTTCCTAAAGATTCTAATTTACTTCAAAAAGTTCTTACAAAGTTTGCTAATATTGAATGAGTCACTGAAATAAGCCAGGCTGTATACTCAACTATGTAGATTTTATTATTTCTCTGATATTTTAGATTTATATAAATATGAAGTATACATACAAGTGCATCTCATTGTTCTGTGCCTCACTTTATTGCATTTCCCAGATATTGTGGGTTTCATTTTATTAAAACAAATGGAAGGTTAGTGGCAAACCTGCATTGCGTAAGTCTGTTGGTCCCATTTTTCCAATAGCGTGTACTCAGTTTGTGTCTCTGTGTCACATTTTGGAGATTTTCACAATATTACAAACATTTCATTATTATATCTGTTATGGTGGTCTCCGATCAGTGATCTTTAATGTTACTATTGTAATTATTTTGGGGCACCATAAACCACACCCATATAAGATGTCAAACTTAATCAATAGGCGTTGTTTGTGTTCTGACAGCGTCACCAACTGGGCACTTCCTGGTCTTTCTCCCTCTCCTTGGGCCTCCCTATTCCCTGAGACACAACAACATTGAGAGTAGACCAATTAAATAACTCTGCAATGGCTGCTAAGTGTTGACGTAAAAGGAAGAGTCTCACATCTCACTTGAAATCAGAAGCCAGAAATGATTATGCTTAGTGGGGAAGGCATGTTGAAAAGCTGTGATTGGCCAAAAGCTAGGCCTCTTGTACCAAATAGCTAAGTTGTGAATGCAAAGGAAAAGCTCTTGAAGGACATTAGAAGTGCTTCTCCAGTGACCACATGAAAGATAGGAAAGCAAAATAGCCTTATTGCTGATATGGAGAATGTTTGAGTGGTCTAGATAGAAGATCAAACAGCCATAACATTTCTTTTAACCAAAGCCTAATCCAGAACAAGGCCCTCACTTCAATTCTGGAAGCCTGAGAAAAGTGAGGGAGTTGCAGAAGAAAAGTTTGAAGCTAACAGAGATTGGTTCGAGAGGTTTAAGGAAAGACACCATCTCCATAAAATGAAAGTGCAAGATGAGGCTGCGTGCTGAAGTAGAATCTGCAGCAAGTTATCCAGAAGATCTGACTACGATCATTGATGTAGACCAATAGCCTTCTTTTGGGATAAGATGCCAACTAGGATTTTTTTTTCTTTTTCTTTTTCTTTTTTTTTTTTTGAGACAGAGTCTTGCTCTGTCATCTAGGTTGAAGTGCAGTGGCATGATCTCATCTTACTGCCTCCTGGGTTCAAATGATTCTCCTGCCTTAGCCTCCTGAGTAGCTGGGATTACAGGTGTCCACCACCTTGCCCAGCTAGTTTTTGTATTTTTAATAGACCACGGAGTTTCACCTTATTGGCCAGGGTGGCCTTGAACTCCTGACCTCAAGTGATCCGCCCACCTTGGCCTTCCAAAGTGGTGGGATTACAGGCATGAGCCACTGTGCCCGGCCACCATCTAGGACTTTTGTATCAAGAGAAGTCAATGCCTGGCTTCAAAGCTTCAAGGGACAGGCTGACTCTCTTATTAGAGGCTAATGCAGGTGGTGACTTTCAGTTGAGGCCAGTGCTCATTAACCATCTCTCAAATCACAAGGCCCTTAAGAATTATGCTAAATCGACTCTTCCTGTGCTCTATAAATGGAACAACAAAGACTGGATGAGAGAGTATCTGTTTACAGCATGGTTCACTGAATATTTTAAGCCCACCGTTGAGACCTACTGCTCAAAAAAAAAAAGATTCTTTTCAAAATTTTACTACTCACTTACATTGTACCTCATCACCCAAGATCTCTGATGGAAATGGACAAGGCGATGAATGCTTTCATGCTTGTTAACACAGTGTCCATTCTGCAGCCTTGAATCAAGGCCTAGTTTTGACTTTTGTCTTAAGAAGTACAATTGATAACACTGTAGCTGCCACAGATGATTCTTCTGATGGATCTGGGCAAAGTAAATAGAAAACCTTCTGGAAAGGATTAATCATTCTAGGTGCTACTAAGAACATCATGATTCATGGGAAAAAGTCAAAATACCCACATTAACAGAATTTTGGAAGAAATCTAACACTCATGAATGACTTTGAGGATTCAAGACTTCAGTGGAGGATGTAACTGCAGGTGTGGTGGAAACAGCAAGAGAACTAGAAGGTAGGCTTGAACTGCTGCAGTCTTATCATAA